ATGTTTCCGATCGACATGCCGAATAATTAAGAAAACTAAAATAATTATCATTTCAGCACACGCTAGGGGTGTGCACGGGCCATAAGCCCGCGGGTTCTATCAAAACCCGCCCTCGTCCCGACAAACAACGGTTCTTGATTTTGAAGAACCAAACTTGGGAGTTTTTAACGGGATTACCATAGGCGGGACCATGGCGGGTTTGTAGTAGGACTCAACCTTTACGGGTCGAAACCCATTATCGTCTAAACTATTTTTTTTTATATATAATTTATAAGTTTTACGAGAGAATAATTAGAAACTTAAATGAATAACCTAAAATTTTAAATTGAAACCAAACATAAATAATGTAAATGTCAAGAGTAAATAAAAATTAATATAAAACTAAAAATAACTAATTCATAACTTAAAAGACAAAATTTAAATAAAATAAATATAGTTTTTTCAAGCATAACCAACGCTATTCAGCTCCATTCAACACCATTTTCTTCCTTTTTTTTTTCTGTCGTGTGTTGACCGTTGTATATATATGTTTTTTTCCCTACATTTTCTTAGAGATTTTCATAATCTTTATAGCTATTACTTCCACAATTATAGTTTAGTTGATTTATGTATTTGATACACTAGAGATACTTTATTTATTCATTAATATTATTAATTTATTATACTATATAATGTAAACAAAACGACGTCGTTTTGTGTGGCGGGGCGGGACGATTTTCACGGGTATTAAAAAAAATTGAACCCGTCTAAGACCCAAACCCACGGTTCTTCACCATTTTAGGACTCAATCCTATGGATGAATCTATCCGTCCGGTCCTAACGGGGCGGTTTTTCACGGGTTTGACGGGTGTAGCGGGTTGATGGGTCCGACTTGCTCACCCCTAGCACACGCACAAAATCCGTATGTAAAATAAAGCCAAACATATAAAATTTAATTGAAAAAATCAAATCAAGTGATTAAAATCATCCTCAACAACCGTGCACACACCCACCTACACACACACACACACACACATATATATATATATATATATATATATATATATATATATATATATATATATATATATATATATATATATATATATATATATATGTGACGCATTAAAAAAACATGGGAAAGGGGGGGGGTACAAAATATATATACAGAGGAAACCCCCCCCCTCTCACACACATATACTATATATATATATATATATATATGTGTTACAATTAATACAATTGTATATATATATATATATATACAAAAATATATATATCTCTGTATATATATATATATATATAATTTATATAATATATATATACATTTCTATTTATAAACACAATATCTCACACTCACGCTATTAATGAGATTCGCCAATATATATATAATGTGTAAATTAAAAAGATTAGTTTATATGTGTGTAACGATATATATAAAAATATCTATATATATCGCCATAATATTAGTCTCTAATATAGGGCATTTTATATAAAGATGTGTTTTTTTTTTTA